AAAAAAAATGTATTTTTAATAAAAATTTCTCTTCGAATTATAAGTTTTGTAAATTCTTGTATTTTATTAATTTATGTAATAATTTTTTTATCGATTTTATTTCTATTTATCATATAGAAATAATTTTATGTGATATAATTATGGGAAAGGTAGTATTATTTATATTTTTATTATTACACGTTATAGTATAGGTACATGGTCCAGTGTTACATGTACCTATACTATAGTTATTAAATATAGATAACAGTAAAAAAAAAAGAAAACAAATAGATAAAGATAAGGTTTAGCAAGAGACTAAAAATACACAATATGGAACACATATAGGAAGAATATATAAAAATAAAAAAATTGAGCTTAAACTAGTAATACACAACATTAATGGCCTCAAAGCAAATAACCAAAAAATAGAATCACTATAAATAGATAATAGATAATAAACTTGATATAGGAGGGTTATGTTAAACAGATAATCAAATTAATTGAAAAATTTCTTATGAAATTGCTTATGAGTTACTTATCAGTTACTTATCAGTTGTGAACCGAACAGATTAGCTACGTAAAATATCCCATTACCCTAATTTTATGTAGTAGCACTCTACTAAAAATTTTCGACCATTGTTTGGAATAAAAAGGTTAAAAGTTAATTTTGGCCAGAAATTAGTGAAACAATTATGTAATGCGGACCAAAATTTTGCAAATCCACGGCCGTTAGCCAATCAAAATCGAGGATCTGCCGGGACAATTTGAGAAATCTACAAAATTAACATACGTATAAAAATTTCATACAATCGTTACTAATACCATATTCAAAAAAAAAATGTCTGTAGATATGTAAGTAGCGATTTTTGACATTAAAACTGATCATACTAGATCATAAGCTCTCTAAAAAAAATAAATTATTATTTTTTTTTTTCAGAGTTGCATCAAAACCAAGCTGGGCGGACGAAGTTGGGGAAGAATTTGGTAAGAATTTTCGCCAAGTTTGCATTCAAAATTCAGAGTGCTAGTAAATCAATACCATTAATAATTTACACAGATCCACTTCCCCTTGAAACTTTCGCCGACGAAAATGGTATTAAAACTGTTGTCGAGTACAAAACTAATGACGACGGAAAAAAAGTAAAGGTATGCTACCAAGATCTTATAACTGGGCGAGCGTAAGACAAAAAATACTTATTCATTGTTCTAGGTTACGAGGAAGATTAAAAAAACTTTAATTACAGAGCGCGTTAACAAAGCTGTTGCCGAACGAAAGGTATTTTCGAATATCTATGAAGATATTGAAAGCATAACATTTGCTGATAACTATTAATTCTCAATTTTAGAAATGGGCAAAATTTGGCGAAGAACGTGGTAAAAAAGTTGGTCCTGATCTTAGCACTACAAGCATTGGTGAGCAGGTATTCTTGAAGCTTTCTACTAATGGCAAGGTAAATTGTTATGACTGTATAGATTTTTTGGGGTTCATCTTAAGGTTTTATAATATATTGATTTTTGTTTCTTTTGACAGCATACCGAGGCTGAGGATAATAAAATAAGTATAAAGAAGCACAAACAGATTCTTTGTCGTATATGTAAAGGTGATCACTTTACCACTAAATGCCCATATAAGGATACACTTCAGCCGTTAGATGAAATTAGTACTACCGTCCCAGATGCGTCAAAAGAATCTGGTAAGGTTATAGAGTTTTTTTTATCTTAGAAATTGTCTCCGAGTTATTAAATTATTCGTTTTTCACATCAGCACCGGCAGCAGAGCCGGCACAACCTGATACTAGTGGAAAATATATCCCACCAAGTTTACGAGGAGATCGTAAAGGTAGCTCAGACACCAGCACGTTTAAAGAACGCAAAGGTATTTTTCAAAAAATTTATTTAGTTTTACATGAGCTTTTACATCTATTTAACATATACTATACTATTTTAGACGATGCCACCATTCGTGTTACAAATCTGTCTGAAGACACTACTGAAGGAGATATACATGACCTCTTTCGTCGATTTGGTGGTATTTCTCGAGTCTATCTTGCTCGTGATCGAGAAACAAATGTTTGTAAAGGGTTTGCCTTTGTTAGTTTTCAACTCCGTGAAGATGCATCCAAAGCACTGCAGGCTATTAACGGTTATGGTTATGACAATTTGATTCTTCGTGTTGAATGGGCCAAGTAAGTCTTCAAACATGAACTTTTACTGTTGCAATTAACGAATATTTACATATGTTGGTTAATGTTTCGTCTAGGTCATCGTCTTAATAAATATCATGAATTTGAATTTTTGATATGAAAAGTATTTATGAAGTAAGTGCTGAGGAAAGGGATTAATTTAACAAAAAATTAGTTTTTACATTGTAAACTTTAAAGAGTTATAGTATGAAATTTTATTAATTGAACTAATTTTTGTTTTATGTAAAAAAATATTTCTAAAATTATTTTAATTTGATTGAAATAAAAAAATGTTTTTTATTAAATTGTCAATTTGTCCCTTTTCCCAACACCTAGCACATATGTTGTCGATCTTTTTATAATGTCAATTTTTGTCAATCTTTTTTCCTTTGCTTTCTCGGAAACTTTCAATTTTTGCGTCTTCAATTAAAAACTCATACCAAAAAGAGGCTATAAAAATAGTACTAGCATGCCATAAGGAATGTGCATCAATAATTCCCCACAAAGGTGAGAAATCATATAGTTCCAGCGACATAGCTAGCAAGATAAACAGTACAATTGTAATTGGCTTCCATGCATCATCCGGTCTTTTGTGCCAGTGAACTATTGACCAACCGACCCAAATTAAATTGTTTGACATGCCGACAATAACACTAGCCATAATATTATATCCATAATCAAATTTAATAAAGTGTAAATATGAGCAATGTGCCAAAAATCCAGAAATACAAATTAAAGCCAATAATAAAGTCTGTTGTTTATTGCGTATTTGAAATATACGCAACACGGTATAAAATAGAGTATACAGTATAGTAAGTCCAGCTGAAAAATAATCTAGTTCCTCTGTGATTGGAACATCTCGGGAATGATATATTGCTGACCAAAACCAACTGTTCATTGCTACGTATGCCGAGAATATGTAAAATTTTTTCATATAATAAAAATCTTGGATCTGATAAAGATACGGAAGGTAATGGTAGTGCACCCAGCCATTGAGTATACTAAACAACACACTAGCGGGCTCTTGGATCCCCAAAAAACGATGGAATGGCCATTTACCGTAATATTGATGAATTTGTCGATTTTCTGATATTGCTTTATTGGTTATTTGGTGCATACAATCGTATTTACAGGTGTCTTCACATGACCAAGCAAAAAATCGTAATGTAAATGGAATAATTGCTGGGTTCCGTTGGCATCTTTCTACAAAACAATTTGAAACGCAACTTTGAAAATGTACGTCTTGATCACCCTTTGACGCACTAACTACTAGGAAGGAAGTGATAAATAGTAATAAACAAATTAGAAATAGTAAAGAAATGATATTGGGAAAATAACTTAATTTAAGCATTGTAATAAAATAATGTGAAATAGAGACAAAGATGAAAGTTGTATGCGTGTTGTGTGCGTGTATACGTACATGGTACGTACATACGCAGTAGCAGGGGGACTTTCTCACTTTTCGGAAAAGCTCGGGCTTTCTTATACAGAGTCGACTAATCAGAAACCACCTTACCGGCACATGATGAGGAAATTTTATGTCACATGTAAAATTTTTAACAAACCGTGCTAGAGTCTCATAGGCAGAAATTCGTCTGATTGGCTAATGTAAATCAATTGCCCAAGTAACCATTCTTAACAAACATCATCTTTAGCTTCTAAGAAGTACTAGAAAACTAACTTTAAAAATAATCTCTAA